CTTAAAAAAAAAAAAAAAGGTAACAGAGAGCAGAAAGAAAATGAGTAAAGCAAACACAACTTATAACTCTCAGGCCTCTTGGGACTTCAGACTGCAGGGTCTGAGTTACATCAGGCAGGTTGGTAGGTGAAGGGGATGTTGTACAAGAAACACGGCTCAACTCTGTATCTACAGCACCACTGACACTCTATTAATTCATGCAATGCACTTAACAGGTGTGGAAGAAGTAATAATTTCAGGACTGGAATTCAGCTCAAAATGAGACCAACATCACTTGTAAGAACTGATTTTTCCACAGATTGCTAATCTAAAATTAAAAATACTAAAACTGATGATTTCTGTTTATATATTACCAAGTGCTCTTTTCCTTACATTTGAGTTGTATGATAACATGAAATGCTATGCTCCTAGTTGGACAAGAGCCTCTTCTAATGCCAAACAGAAGCTTCTCCCTGGGAAACAGCCCTATGGCCACCAAGCAACCCAACCTCCGGACGGCACAGAGTTAGCCTCAGATTTAACTGAGGAATGGGTTCTGTGGGCTCCAACCCACACAGGAGCATCACTACAGGCAACGCTGTCCTGCAAGGAGCAGTAGTAAGCCACAGGGGCAAGGTTTTGACAGCTCTAGGGCTCCAAAATTCCTGACAAAGATTCTAGAAGGCTAGCTTCCCTGGAATAATGCTGGGGCTCAAAGACTGTAGCTAGCATGGTTCTCCTTTAATATAATTTATAATTTACTCATAATTGATGAGCGATTAGCATTAGGCAAAAAGTTTGGTGTGTCCAAAATAGCTAAGTATTACTCATTAAAAAAAAAAAAGTTAATTTGGGCCCTCCCTGGTGGCTCAGTGGGTTAAAGCACAGCACTGAGAAGCTAAAGCCACTTCAGCATGAGTTCTATCCCCACCCCGGAGGTGATCCACATGGTGCGGCAGACCTCTCCTGACCTGCCCACTGCCCACCTCAGCAGTGTACTTTGTCAGTCGGCCTGTTCTGCTCCCCACTATGTCTCTGGTGAATCCTCTTGTTGCCCTGCACCTCTGGCCTGTACCCCAGTTCTGTATGCGTACATAAATAAATCTTTAAAAAAAGGTAATTTATTCTTTTAACTGTGGTTAACAATAGTATTCTCCCCATCAGGTATTACCACCATATGGGAGCAGCTACCAAATCACCACACTCTACCAACCATAGCCCTGTACTTTCCTCCCTCTTTGTATCTGTCAGTCCTCTACTCCTTCCCCACTTTAGCTGCCTAAGTT